GTGAGGATCTCCGTTAGGGAGCCTCCAGATGTAAGTGCAGACGAGGCGGCCGCGCCTCTGACTGAGTGAGCACCAAAACATGGGTCGATACCAGCTAGGACTAGAAGCCATTTGATCCAACGAGCAATCGTGGGACATGACACTGGCTTGTGAGGTCGAACGTAGGATACCAGTAGGGGTCCCGTTCGTGGTCTAAGATCCTTGGTGCAGAGGATGTAGTGTCTGACGCAACTAGCTACGCAAAGCATGGGTTTGTCGTGAAAATAAGGGTAGCTTACTGTAGATGAATTGGTTTTGGTGCGTCGGGTAATGGAGCAGTGCACTCCCTCAGGGGTAAAGTCCACCTCGTGGACATCAAACACTCTGATGTCCGAAACTCTTCTAAACGATACCAAACAGAGCAGTAGTGCCAGTTTGGCCGATAGTTGTAGAAGAGAGAGCTCTCCATTAGGAGGCCACTCCTCCAAAAATGATAATACCATAGTAACATCCCAAAATTGATTATATTTGGGTGCCGGTGGTCTCGCAAGGCGCATGCCTCGCAGAAGTCTACATATGGAGGGGTGTTTACCAACCGCGGAGTTATCAACCAGGCTATGGGCTGCCGAAATGGCTGAACGGACAACGTTAATTGACCGATAGGACTTACCCTGTTCGACAAGTGACGCCAGGAAATTCATAATGTTGATCAGAGAAGTTGAAAAGGGATCTCTCTCCAAGCACCAGCTATTCCAGCATTGCCACGCTGAGAGATAAGAGTGTCTTGTGCCTGAGGCCCAAGAGTCCCATACTAGTCCTTGAGCAGTAGTCGAAAGGCCTGAGACATTCCAGGATCCCCTGAAATGGTCCAGGCCACTAACCGAAGGTGGCCTTGTAGTGCTAGTGGATGGAAATTGCCTGAGGGGTCCCTGAGGAGATTGTAAGAGGTGGGTAGGAGTAGGGGGTAGTCCACTGACATCTCCAGGAGATACGGGAACCAAGGTTGAGTTCGCCACAGTGGGGTTACCAGAATTATGGTGACGCCCTGAGTTCTGAGGTATTGGATCGTGCAAGGAATCATGGAGAATGGGGGAAAGGCATACGCTCCGGATGTTGGCCATGGTTGGAGAAAGGCGTCCACTGCCAGGCACGCTGGGTCTGGGAGCCAGCTGAAGAATGAGTCCGTCTGACGATTCAGGCGAGATGCAAATAGGTCCAGGTTGAATGGTCCTCTCAGGGTCTGTAGATGATGAAAAATTTGTGGATCCAGTTGCCAATCGCTGGAATCCCTCCAGTGGCGTGAGAACCAATCTGTGACGAGATTGTCGGAGCCCGGGAGATATTCTGCACGAAGGGAGATATTCCTGTCCAGGCAGAAATGGTACAATTCCTTTGTCAGATCTGATAGCATCTTTGATCGCGGGCCACCTAGGCGGTTCAGATATTGTACTGCTGAGACGTTGTCCATCCGCAGGATGAGGCTGCAGTTGTATGCCTCCTTGGCAAAACTGCGGATCGCGAAAGAACCAGCGATCAGTTCGAGGCAATTGATATTTAGTGCCTGTTCTGATGGGGACCAGAGGCCTCCGGTGGAACGTTCCGAGCAGGTGGCACCCCATCCGAGGAGGCTGGCATCCGATTCCAGAATGAAGTCAGGTTGCCGACCGAAGATAGCCCTTCCGTTCCAGGCTTCCATATGTTGAAGCCACCAGTGGAGTTCTAGTTGGACTTCGTCTGTGAGGAAGATCTGTTGGTCGTAAGATGGTGAGCGATGTAAGTAGTGTGTTCTCAAGCGTTGCATCGCCCGGTAGTGTAGCGGGGCTGGGAATATTGCCTGGATTGAGGCGGAGAGGAATCCGATTGTGCGGGCTAAAACCCTGAGTTGGAGGTAAGGCGTTGTTAGTAATCTCCTGATGTCCTTTTTTATGGACTTGATTTTCGTAACAGGCAGTTGCAGGACTGCCTGAATCGAATCTATCTGGAATCCCAGAAACTGTATTGTCTGAGATGGGGTCAGGGATGATTTTTGGAGGTTGATGATGAAACCCAAATTCTGAAGAAGGGCCGAAGTCATCTCCGTATGGAGAAGTAGATACTCTTTGTCTTGTGCCATAAGGAGGATATCGTCCAAGTATATGATGGACCGAATTCCTTGTGAACGGAGGAGCACCATCACCGGTTTCATTAGTTTGGTGAAACACCAAGGTGCGGAGCACAGTCCGAAGGGGAGGCAGGTGAACTGCCATAGTGTCTCGTCCCAAATGAATTGGAGGAAAGTGCGATGTTCTGGCGTGATTGGTATCGTAAGGTATGCATCTTTGAGGTCGAAACGGGAAAACCAATCTCCCTCGCAGAGGAGGTCCCGTAATAGGTGGATGCCTTCCATCTTGAAGTGTCTGTATCTGATGAATTTGTTCAGTTCTCTCAGATTGATGACTGGTCGGAATTCTCCCGACTTTTTCTTGACCAAAAACATATTGCTCACGAAACCTCGTTGGGTGAGGGCCCGTTCGATGGCACCCTTGTTGACTAGGTCGTTGAGTTTGGCTTGAAGGGCCATGTTGTCTATTTGAGACATTTTGAGAGGGATAGGCAAGGATACCTGAATTGGATCCTCTGTAAAGTCTAAGTGGAAGCCGGAGACGGTCTGAAGGATCCACGGATCCTGCGTGAGTTGGTACCACTGTTGGGAAAAATGTATTAATAGGCCTGCTATAGGTACATGAGAAGAATGAGAGTCCCTTACCTGTAGGAGTGCGACCGCGGAGGGAAGCAGATCCACGTCCTCTAATGGCTCCACGAAAGGGGAAGAACTGCTTGTGGTGGAAACGGGTATTGCCCGAGTTCCAATGTTCGGAAGGTCGAGGCCTATAGCCTGTAGAGGCAGCTCTGCCAGCCGTCCGGCCTCTGTAATGGCTGGCTCTCCCAGAAAAACGTTGGGACCTAAATATATTGCGTAATGAAGATTGCGCTTTTGTAAGCGTAGTAAACACAGCCACGTATTTACTTAATTCTTTAATAAATTTGTCTCCAAAAAGCATACCTTGTGCTTCAGGGCCAAGCTCTTTAGTGCCTAATTCGGCAAAGCTTGGATTGTATGTCCACTTCTCCCTGTACTGTTTAAATGCAAATTAATACAGAGACATGCATAAATGATCACGCATGCACTCAAACACAGAAATATTTGTGTGTACACAGCCATTAAAACAAATATATGGTATTGAGAGACAGACACAAAAATGTACAAACTCAAAACCACACACTAATACATATATTATTACAGCTACAAACTAGTGCACATAGATGCAGGTGGGTCCAGGGCCGTTGCAAGGATTTCTGCCGCCCCTTTATGTCACTCACTGACAGACACACACACGCTGACACACATACACTCACTCACTGACACACACAGACAGAAACTCCGTGACAGGCATACACTCACTGACACACATACTCATTCACTTACAGACGCACACAGACACACACACTCTTTGACACACACACATTCACTGACAGACAATATGCTCACTCACTGACACACACATACACACACACACTCTCACTGTCAAACATACATTCACTCATTGACAGACCTACATTCACACACAAACACTCACTGACAGACCTACACTCACTCACTGACAGACACTCAAACACTCCCCTTCCTGGGGTCCAGTGTGGCGCAGCCTCTCACTCTTCCCGCACGCTGTTTAGTATGCCGGGTGGGCGGCCCGAGCAGGCCGGCGCCCTAGACGAATGCCTAGTTTGCCTAACGGTGGTGCCGGCCCTGGGCATAACCATGATGGAATGAAAACCCACTAACAGTTTAAATGATATGGTTTCCTGAAGAAGTGTGTCTTCAAAGATTTTTGAAAGAGTGGAGACTGGGTAAAAGTCTTCATGGTGAAGGGAAGGGAGTTCCACAGAAAAGGTGTAGCCCTGGAGAAGTCTTGGAGGCGAGCATCACATGTGGGAGTACGGACAGAGGATAGACGAAGGTGTTCGGCAGAGCGCAGGGGCTTCATCAGGATATACTTGAGTATTAGGGAGGATAGGTAGGTTGGAGCAGCATTATGTAGGGACTTGTAAGCAAGCACCAGAATCTTAACTTAAGCCCTATATCTAACTGGAAGCCAATGTAGGGACTGACAGAAGGGAGAGGCGTGGGAGGTGCGGGCGGACAGGAAAATGAGCCTCGCAGTCGCATTCGTTATAAATTGCGTCTGGTGTTAGATAGGGGTGGATGCGAGCTATGTTTTTGAGATGGAAGCGGCAGGATTTAGCAATAGACTGGACATGAGGGGTGAAGGAGAGGTCAGAGTCAAAGAGAACACTTAGGCAGCGAGCCTGCGAGGTAGAGGTGATGGTGGTGCCGTTGACTTGGAGGGAGACAGACATGGGAGTAGCAACACTTGAGGGAAGAAAGACCAGAAGTTCTGTTTTGGATAGGTTGAGTTTAAGGAAGCGAGCAGCCATCCAGTTGGAAATCGCGGAGAGGCAGTCAGAGACACGAGTCAAGATGGGCGGAGAGAGATAAGGAGAGGACAGGTAGATTTACGTGTCATCTGCATATAAATGATAATAGAAGCCAAAGGAGCTGATGAGTTTACCAAGGGAGGCAGTATAGATGGAGAACAGTAAGGGACCAAGGACAGAACCTTTGGGGACTCCAACAGAGAGGGATTGGGGAGAAGAGGCAGAGCCAGAGAAAGAAACACTGAAAAAAGCTCTGGGAGAGGTAGGAGGAGCACCATGGGAGAGCAGTTTCTCGTGGACCAAGATTACGGAGAATGAGAAGAAGCTGTTTATGATCAACAGTGTCAAAGGCAGTATGAAAGATCAAGGAAAATTAGGATAGAGTAATGGCTGCGAGACTTAGCAGCGATTAAATCGTTGGATACTTTGGGATGTCAATCTCGGA